CTTCTTCTTCTTCTTCTTCTTCTTCTTCTTCTTCTTCTTCTTCTTCTTCTTCTTCTTCTTCTTCTTCTTCTTCTTCTTCTTCTTCTTCTTCTTCTTCTTCTTCTTCTTCTTCTTCTTATTATTATTATTATTATTATTATTATTATTATTATTATTATTATTATTATTATTATTATTATTATTATTATTATTATTTAAAGCTGTCAGAAATTGAGGACTACCTGCATTGTGGACAAAGAGCCCTTTAAATGGAGGGAAGGGTTAATTTTGGATGCTTAAATGATAATGGGTAGTTTCTGATCTTGGTTTGAATTGTCTCCAGGTGCTTGCAATAAACCTTTTGTGAATCTCCTTATCTTAATCAGCAGACTTTACACCTGTCTGACATTTCCTAAATGATACCTTTTGTTCTTACCCAACTTGGTGGTTAATCAAGCAGATTTTTTTGCCATTTTAAATTTGGGCTCAGACATTTTACTCCAGGGGGGTCTTCAAACTTGGCCCTTTTATGACTGGTGGACTTCAGCTCCCAGAATTCCTCAGCCAGGCACGTGTGCCTGGCTGAGGAATTCTGGGAGTTGAAGTCCACCAGTCATAAAAGGGCCAAGTTTGAAGATCCCTGTTTTACTCTATGGATTAATAACTATAACCTTTGTTTTTATAGGGGAAGCCAACTACGCTACTGTGGATGGGTATAGCTTAATTCATCCTCACTAGCCCAGAGATGGTAAGTTTTGTCATTTAGAAAAGGAACTTAAAAGTGCCGGTCTAATTAAGCATATTATTGGAATAGAATAATACAGAATATCTCTGTGTTTATACAACATCTTAAGGCAGTGTCTTCCAATCTTGGCAACTTTTAAGATGGGTAGACTTCAATTCCCAGAATTCCCCAGCCATCCAAAACAGAATAACAGAATCAGAAGGGACCTTTGAGGTCTTCTAGTCCAATCCCCTGCTTATCCAGGAAACTCGATGCCAGTTCAGACAAATGGTTGTCCAATCTCCTCTTAAAACCCTCCAAAGTTTTTCATGCTGGCTGAGGAATTCTGGGAGCTGAAGTCCACGCGTCTTCAAAATTGCCAAGATTGAAATGGGTTAAGTCGTGGTTTAGCTGACATAAGTTATACTTTGGCTATTCTTAAGTGCGAATAAACAAGATTGGCTGATTGTACACTAGTCCCTCAGTCATAAACCATAGCTTACCAAGAGTCTTGCTAGATTAATGCAAGAAGGTAAGTCATAAACTAACATATCGTATTAATCTCCCCAGATCAAGGTTTGCTCGATCTGGGCTTTCCTTATTGCAGGGATAGGCAGCCTTGGCTCTTTTATGATTTGTGGACTTCAACTCCCAGAATTCCTGAGCCAGCATGAGGGAAACTTTGGCCCCTTCATGACTCGTGGACTTCAACTCCCAGAATTCCTGAGCCAGCATGGGGAANTTTGAATCAGCAAATCACAGTTAAACAGATCATGGCTTAGAGGCAGTCCTCGACTTATAACAGTTGATATGGTGACCGTTCCAAGTTACAACGGCACTGAAAAAAATGACTTATGACCGTTTTTCACCCTTACGACCGTTGCAGCCTCTCTGTGGTCACGTGATCAAAACTCAGATGCTTGGCAACTGACTCATATTTATGACGGTCACAGTGTCCCAGGATCACGTGATCCCCTTTTGCGACCTTCTGACAAGCAAAGTCAAAGATTCACTTAACAACCACGTTACTAACTTAACAACTGCAGTGATTCACTTAACAACTGAGGGAAGAAAAGTTGTCAAAAGGAGCAAAATTAAAAACTGCCTCGCTTAGCAACATAAATTTTGGGCTCGCTCGTGAGCTGAGGATTATCCGTAGATGGATCCAGTCTGCATTTTTCCCCCCTCATTCTTTGATCTTTTTCTTCCCTCCAGATCTCGGAATCTTTCCTTCGACGATACCTCTATGAGGAAAATGAAATAGCAGCCATTTTAAAAGCTGTCTCAATCCCCTTCCCCAAATGGAGTTTTGCTGATTTTGGGGGGGGGGTGCATTAATTATTCTTTAAAACAAGCCAAAGAGAACATTTTGGAAAGGTGGAGGATGCTTCCACAGCAGAAAAGTACTGAGACGACGCTAATTTTCTGGCAGATAACACCCATTATTTCTGTTGTTTTATTCCTTTGAAAGAAGGGCAAAAGCCCCTGCAGGGATGTTCGCAGGATGTGGTCGAAAAAGTCAAGATGGCAGCTGTAGCATCCACTGCATCCTTAGATCCACAAGTTTACCCTTTTTTGACCACATCTTTGGACCCCTGCCTTTTTTATTCGTAGGGGTGTGTAACATCTAAAGAATTAAACCTATGTCTGAATGACCTTGAAAGTGGGTTTCTTGGGAGACATTGTAGTTTCTACCTGACCTACCTCACAGGGTGGTTGTGAGGATGGATCAAGACAATCCCACGATATTAGCCTTAATTCTTGGATCTTACTTAATTATGTTAGTTAGAGAGTGGTGGGAAAGCTTCTAGAGTTTTGATTGCCTTCCCCTTTTTTTTTTAGTTTGCCCAAAATCCGGTGAAATCTAGAGCAAATGGACTCTTCCTGATTTGTTAAGCACTAAGAATTAAATACTTATTTGTCTGCAAATGACTTGGGAATCAATATGTGGGAGAAGCAGCCATTTGTCCGAAATGGTATAGGGTTTCCTGCCTGAGCAGGGGGTTGGGCTAGATGACCTCCAAGGTCCCTTCCAACTTTACTACTACTACTACTACTACTACTACTACTACTACTACTACTACTACTACTACTACTACTACTACTACTACTACTATTATTATTATTATTATTATTATTATTATTATTATTATTATTATTATTTCTTCTCCTGGACTTTCGAATTGTGATGGTGCCTGAGAAGCTCCCCTTTTAGTGAAAAGCAAGGCTCTAGTCCCTCCTGATTCAAAGGGACAGAAAATGTGTGGTAGCTGTAGTACTCATTCATGGAAGCTTCTGGAATCCAAAGCAGACTGTGGTGGGATTTCTGTCTTTTTTTTTTCTTTCCTGTCATCAATATTTTTAATCCTACCTTATTTCTACTGTACTATTTATTCTACTCTGGGAAGAAGAATTCTGAGAGTTATCATAGGAGATAAAAAAAATAAGCAATTAATATAAACCTGTGTCCTTGATGTGACAACTGCCTTATTGGGCACAGACTGGGCTCTGTTAATTTAGGAAGCTTTTTCCACTTGTATAGGTTTTTTTTCCCCCCAGTTGTTGACTTTGAACTTTGCGTTGAAGGAAAAATAGGATGCTCTTTAGAGATATGGTAATTTACTGGAGAAGGACAATCACCTAAATAGGAGCCAGCCGTGTGTTGCAGCTGCCAAAAAAGCCAACACAGTGCTGGGCTGCATTAACAGAGGGATAGAATCAAGATCACGTGAAGGGTTAATATCACTTTACAAGGCCTTGGTACGGGCACACCTGGAATACTGCATCCAGTTTTGGTCACCACAATGTAAAAAAGATGTTGAGACTCTAGAAAGAGTACAGAGAAGAGCAACAAAGATGATCAGGGGACTGGAGGCTAAAACATATAAGGAACGGTTGCTGGAATTGGGAGGTCTATTATTATTATTATTATTATTATAATTTAATTTATATACCGCCCTTCTCCCGCAGGACTCAGGGCGGTGCACAGCGTATTAAAAACAGTACAAATACAAAGCATAAAAATACAAACCCCTATAAAACCAGATTAAAAAACCGAATATTAGAAGCTGTGTCTCTATTTAAAATTATTTTTAAAATCACCCTAAATAAAA